TTTTTGGTTTTTCGAGACAGGGTTTCTCTGTGGTTTTGGAGCCTGTCCTGGAACTAGCTCTTGTAGACCAGGCTGGTCTCGAACTCACAGAGATCCGCCTGCCTCTGCCTCCCAAGTGCTGGGATTAAAGGCGTGCACCACCACCGCCCGGCTATAAGTGCTCCACAACCTCTTGGCCCCACCTCTTCCTCTTCCAAGGGCCTTTCTTTCCCTTCTCCAGAGATGGCCAGGGAACTCTATGATCTATTGCAGTTTAATTCCCAGCTGAATGTGAACCCCGCCTCTCCAGCCAACTCCCTACTTCTTTGGGCATCGGACTACAGCACAGACAAAATTCCCGTGACACTCAGCTCCAGAACAACCCAAACCATCAGCACGAATGCCTGCACTAAATGTCCACTCCACTGGTGTTCATAGCAATTACAAAAAAAAAAAAAAAAAAAAGGATGGACATTACCCAGTCTGTCCAAGCATGCAGAAAAATCAGCTAAATGTCGGGCTTCCCGATTCAGAATGCACGCTAGAGATGGGGTTCATTCTCACTTGCAATCTGAGAGCAGCTTGGGCTAACAACATTTTTAGACCTCATTCCTCACTTTTAGTAGCTACATCGAAGTGTACCTAATGATGTGTATCTGTTGCCATTTTGTTCTGTTGTGTTTTGTAGCACAGCTCCATAAGACCCGGGCTGACCTGAAGCCTGTAGCCCTCAAATGTGCAGAGATCCCGCTGTATCTGCCTTCTGGGTACTGTAGGGTTATAGCCCTGTGCTACCAACCTAGCTTGGCCATCTGTTACCTTTACAATCAGGAGGCATACAGGAAATAGTAATGAGAGTGTTCTGGGATGTGTGGAAGGAGATCATGGAGCTTTTCTCAGGGAGAATGCCACAGGGACCTCTAACTTCCCAGAACCCAGGGCTAAGGCATCTGAGGTGTGGCAGCAACAGTTCTCCCCAAGGGAGCCAGAGCCTGTTAGGAGTCTCTCGCTGCATAGAGGGTAAAGTACACAGTTCTGGGGTTGAAGCGATGGCTCAGAGATCAAGAACACTCACATGGAACCCAGGTTCAATTCCCAGGACATGCATGACAGCTCACAACCAACTGTGGCTACAGTCCCGGGTGATTTGATGCCTTCTTCTGACCTCCTTGATCCCAAGCATCCATGTGGTGCACAGACACACAAACAAAATACCCAAACGCATTAAATAAATCAATATTTTTAAGGTAAGTGAATAGGAACCACCTCCTCATCTGATTGGAGCTGGAAAGAGGCTAAAACTTATGCAGTGAGTTCTTGACTCTCTGGAACCCAAGTGGCCGCTGCCTGCCATGAGGAGAGAGAAAGATAGGATTCCTCCTCCCACTGGTGGCCCTGGCCAACCTCTCCAGACGCCTTGTCATTCCTGGTGCTGGTGCATGTTCAGTGAGAGCCACAGCTCAATTCCCATGTCAGGTCAGCCTCACGGCAGAAGACTGTGGCAGCCAGGGCAGCCTGGAGCATGCGCAGACTGGAGGAGCCGAGAAACTAGAACCGGTCCCTCTGCTGGCAGCATCCAATCAGCAGAGGGACTGTGGAGCGCTCAGCCACTGGCTGCTACCAAGTAGAAAATGTCACCTGGGGCAGATCAGAAGAAGCTCAGACAATGATGTGAAACTTCTTTGTTTTAAATTTGTAACTTTTAAGTCTGCTAAGAGTGCAAACGAAACAGGCCTCTTGTAGGCTGGGTATGACTGCTAAAGTCTAGTTTACGTTCCTGCCCCCACCACACACACATCCCGGGAAGGACCATAGCTCTGATGGACACCTATCTTTGTCTGTGTCTACTGAGTAGCAGACAGTCCCCGATGCTCACAGTGGTGACTTGTGCCTGCTTTTTTTTCATTCTAGAGTCCTGGATGCCCTGACTACAGCATCCTCTCCTTCATGGGCGCTTTCCACGGGAGGACTATGGGTAAGGAGGACCAAGTATGGCCCCAGACTTTGTGCTGCCTGTCACCATAGATGCTAACGAGCAGAGACAGGCTGGATCCTGAAGCTGCCTTGAATCTAGGAAGCCATCAGTCTGAGAGGACAGAGGGTCAAAAGTGTGTGTGTGTGTGTGTGTACGTGTGTGTACGTGTGTGTATGTGTGTGTTCGTACCTTCCCCCTCCTATCTCCAGCCAGCATGTTTTACAGGGAGTATGAACAAAGGCAATGGTCGTTCTGAAGTTCAGTATTGTCCTCTGATCAGGGGTCAGCCTCCTCTCCCCATATCACCCCCTAAACTTTTTCCTCGTGATTATCTCTCCCTGTGCGGCAGCGTTCATATTCCTCAAGTCTGCGAAGCCTCACAAGCTTTCCTAAGCAGCACCTAGGCCAAAGGTTAACTCAGAACAAGCAAACTGTTAGCAGTGTACACAATGGGCTATTGCAATGTGCCCATGCAAGGCAGCTGAATGGCTCAGTGGGTGAAGATGCAAACTTGTTGGCCTGCATTTGGTCCCCAGAACCTACATGGTGGATGGCACTCCCATTGGCTGTCATCTTCCTCCCACAGGCACACACTGGCACATGCACCCACCCAATAAATAAATAGATGTAATATTTTAATTTTGAAAAAAACAGGGGGCTGGAAAGATGGCTCAGTGGTTAAGAGCACTTGTTGTTCTTGCAGAGGACCTGTGTTTAGTTCCCAACAACCACATGGCAGCTCATACTCTTCTGTGACTCCAGGTCCAGAGGATCTGATGATCTCCTCCAGCACACAGTCCACATACACACATACATGCATGCAAAACACTCATACATGTAGAATAAAATATTTTCATATAGTTTTGAAAAAACACTGTGTACCTGTAGATTTTTTTCTACAATACAAAATGCAAATATACTCTTATAATATAGTATACAAAGGGGTAGAAAGACAGCTCAGAGGTTGTGAGTGCCGGCTTCTCTTCAGAGAACCTGGGTTTTGATTCCCAGCATCCATGTCAGGTGGCTCACAGTCACATGTCAGTTCAGCTCTAGGAGATTCCATGTCCTTTCCTGGCCTCCTCAGACATTACACTCACATGACATACAGTCACACAAACACATACATACACATTAAAATAATAACAACAACATAGAATATTAAAATAGCCCATCCATCCCTCCTGTAACAAACCAATTCCATTCAATCCCCTGCAGAGAGGGGATAATTGTGCCCATTTGCAAATATGGATATAAATCAGCAAAGAGAGTAACTTCCTGTTGCCATTTAATGACAGCAAGGAGGCTGAACTGCCATCTCTCCTCTGCAGCAACTGGGTTTAACCTGGGACAGATCATAAAGCAAATGCACACACACCCTCCCTAAGGTTACACACACACGGGCTGAAGAGCTCATTGCCTTCTCTTTAAAGACTTTATGCTACTGCCCCGAGCCAACCATCTGCTCTTCTGTTTTGCTGGGCTCAGGATGCTTAGCGACCACACACTCAAAAGCAATTCACAAGATTGACATCCCTTCCTTTGACTGGCCCATTGCTCCATTCCCACGGCTGAAGTACCCCCTGGAGGAGTTCGTGAAGGACAACCAGCAAGAGGAGGCCCGATGCCTAGAAGAGGTAACCTGGTTCCCCACAGCCTCCTTCCATCTCTGTTTCTCTCCATATCCTGAATCCGAGCCCAGAAGAGGACAGATGTAGGACATGGGTAGTGCCCCTCGGGTAGGGAGTAAGGATGCAGAGACCTCATGCTTCAAGTGCTCCATAAGGGAAGAGACAAGAGGCATTGTTTTGCTACCTAGCATTTATCACACTTCTGGTACCAATTTCTCCACCATTTCTTTGGAGATGGATTTAAGTGACTTCAAAATAAGGGAGAATAGATTTATTTAAATAATATGGATGTCTTGCAGGAAAAGAGCTCCGTGGGGCCAGTCTCCTGGTTAGCATTCTTTCTCTGAGTTCTAGAGCTTCTTTAAGTTTCATTGGAGGTCGCACTAGGAAAGAATGAGGACTTGTAATCCCTTGCCTCCACATCTCCATTTCCCCAGAAACAGCCACCTGTTTCTGTAGGAAATGGGAAAGTATAGGAAGCGTTTTCCTGCTGGAGCAACAGTGGCTGTATTCTTTATTGGATTATTATTGGATTGATGCTCAAATAACTCTGCTGGCTTTCCTCTTAAACGTGTCATCATTTTCAGTCAATATTTATCAGACACCTACCAGGTGCTAAGCAGAGTGCTGAGTGGTAGGTCTTTAGCAATAAATGAAAGAGACAAGACCATAGCTCAGGCTTGTAACATAGACAGCCATAGATTTCATAGTTACCAGAGCGGCAAAAGAAAAAAGCAGACTGGGGATGGAACATTAGGAAGTGTTTCCCAGCAATCACAAAATCCTGGGCACCACATCAGATCAGGTGTGGAGATGTATGTCCATAATGCTAGCTCTTAGGAGGAGCTCAGGATGAGAAATTGAAGATTGTTTTCAGCTACATAGTGAATTCAAGGCCACCTAGGATTATGAGACCCTGTCTTAATAAATAAATAGAAACAGATGGAATTTATTTGAGCAGCATCTTTTATTTGTTCCTTGAGATGTAGTCTCACATTCTAGTCCAGCTGCCTTGGGACTTACTGTTCAGCACAGGCTGGCTTCAAGACCAAGAGAAATACTGCTGTCTCAGCCTCGCTAGTACTGAAGCTCCAGGAGTGAGACATGGCATTTCATGAGCCTTCTATATCAAAATATGGTCTCAACATGTAATTAATATTTTTATAAGTATTTTATAAAATTTGTATAATATTTTATAAGAGGTTGTTTTTCATATTAAGCTCCCGGAACACTGTGTGTTAGGCATAAAAAACTAAGTCATGGGCTTTGTTCTATTTTGTTTTTTAAATTTTGAATTCTAATTAAAACATAATAAATATCACTGTGTTATTTGTTCATCATCTGTAATACCTGCTTCAGAACAAGTTGGGTACCTTCCTTATGTCCCATCAGTTTGTTGGTGTTTTTACATCAGCTGTAGCAGTGAGAGAGTTATAGTTCCTGCAGTACAGCCATTCCAGCATTTGCTTCAGTCCGTTGTATGACTCAGTACACTGTCACCCAACCAGGGATGTCTTAGCACCCTGGACCACCTTCTCAAGTCACTCTAAGCATTCTTACCCGCACGGTCCCCCGCCCTACAACATACCGCCACAGTGCTGCACTCTGCTTTTGCTTCAGATGGTTTCACAGCAGCTTCTCAAATGAGAATCTATCTTAGCCTGCCCACGACCCAGGCACACAAGCCGAAAGAGCACTAATAGCACAGCAGAAGCAACAATAGTGCCAGGCATTCCTTGAACTCACAGAGTTTTACTTGCCTCTGTCTCCTGAGTACTGGGATTAAAGGTGCATACCACCAGGCCAGGCACTACATAACAAATTTGGGGCCAGCCTGGGCAATATGTGTGCCCACTTACAGATCAAGAAAGAGAAGGTTCAGAAGACTGAATTTCTAGTCCCATAGGTGCCAGCTCCTGTCACAGCAGAGCACATCCCGCACAAAGTGTGGCTCCTCACAGGTCCACACTTGTGATGGGAGATGCCACAGACACACTTTCGATATGACTTCAAGGGGTCCCCAGAGCCCCCCAGTGCCCATCCATGGAATCTACTGTTCTGGGGCGTCTATGAACAGCTTCCTTTTCCCTTTCCGGATCTAGGTGGAAGATCTAATTGTGAAATATCGGAAAAAGAAGAGAACAGTGGCTGGAATCATCGTTGAACCCATCCAGTCTGAGGGCGGAGACAATCACGCCTCAGATGACTTCTTCCGGAAACTGAGAGACATTGCCCGAAAGGTTAGAGTGCACGGAAAGAGCCAGCCAGGACCACAATGGTTTCTGAGTTTGGTTCCCAGAGCAAAAAGTTGGCTCTACTTCTGCCATGGGGCATGAAAACTTACATGTGTGCAGAAACTGGCAGACCTTATCGAGGGCAGAGAAAGTGGATTGGTACTAGGGAGTATGGGCACAGGTTTACCTAGCTTGTATAGAGCCCTGTGTTTCATTTGAGGTGGGGGCAGGCTTGAGTTGGGAGGCATGGGTGATTCCTATTTAAAATAACTTTGCTGAATCAGCCCCTGTTCAGTGGTAAAGCATTTGTGTAGCATGCACAAGGTTCTGGGTTCAATCCTCAGCACTGAAGAAAAATCAAAGTTTTATGGGACGTGATAACTCAAGCCTACAGTCCCAGCACTCAGAAGGCCCAGGCAGGAGGATTATCACAGGTTCAGGGCTACCCTTGGTTATATAGTTTAAGACCAGACTGGGAACTACTGGGATTTTTGGTTTGTTTTGTTTTTGTTTGTTGTTTTTTTTCCTTTTAATTAATTAATTTAATTTATTTTACATATATATGGGTGTTTTGCTTGCATGTATGTTTGTGCAGCATGTGTATGCACTGCCTGCAGAGTCCAGAAGAGGGCATCAGATTCCCCTGAAACTGGAGTTACAGACAGTTGTGAGCTGTCATGTGGATGCTGGGGTTTGGACCAGGGTCCTATGGACTAACAACCAGTGCTCTTATAACCATGGAGCTATCACTCCAGCCCCCAAACTACTGTTTTATTCTGGTGTCTTAGTTAGCGTTTCTACTGCTGCAACAAAACCACCATGATCAAAGAACAAGTTGGGGAGGAAAGGGTTTATTGGCTTAAGCTTCCATATTCCTTACAGTTCATCACTGAAGAAAGTCCAAGCAGGAACTCACACAGGGCAGGAGCCTGGAGGCAGGAACTGATGTAGTAGCCATGGAGGGGTACTGCTTACTGGCTTGCTTCCCCTAGCTTTCTCAGTCTACTTTCTTATAGAACCCAGAACTACCTGCCCAGGGTTAGTTCCACCCACAATGGGCCTGGCCCTCCCCCATCAATCACTAATTAAGAAAATGCCCTATAGTCAGAACTTATGAAGACGGTTTCTCAACTAAGGTTCCCTCCTTTCAGATAACTCTAGTTTGTTTGACATAAGACCAGCCAGCAAATCGGGACTTGTCCAGTGAGGAAATCCCTAACATGGCTGCAGCCTCCTAATTTGCCTTGTTTTTTCAGTCCACTGTGTCTATAGTCATCGGCGTAAAGGAGCAGGATCAGCATCAAGGCTTTAGTCTAATGGATTGGGCATTAGCTTTTTGTCACTGCAGCCAAATTCCTTGATTTAAACAGTGTAAGCCCCCAGACAAAAGCCTGACTTTGCTCCATTCCAGAGGGTTCAGGCCATAGTCACCAGCCCTGCATGCTTAGCAGAAACCATGGCAGCAGAAACAAGTGACAGAGGAGAACTATTTAATCGTAGCTGACAGGAAGCATAGAAGGAGACAGGAAGTGACCAGGAGATCCTCTAACCCCACAAAGACCAAGTTCCTCCACTTCTAAAGTTTCCACAACATCCTAGTAGCGCCATGGCAGGAGACCAAACGCTCAGCATAGGAGCCTGTGAGGGAGTTTATGTTCACATGGTAACAGGTATATATGCACAGTGGACGTACCCAACCAGTCAGCTCATCGATAAGACACATGGGACACGAGCCAGTTCACACACATATGGAATTAGTGCGTCTGCAGAAAACACGGCAGCTGATGTGGACGGAATGACTTCTCAGCTTCAAGCTTGCACACATTGTCTTCAGAGGTAGTCAAGCCCAGGACAGCAGCCGCATGCCACAGAGCCCAGAGATGGTGCTGGGGAGTATCCAATGTTCTGATTTTTTCCATCGGGGCAGTTCTAGGGCGTGTTCTGATCTAGGCTGTTCTGGTTTGCTCTGCAGAGCTGGGGAATGGGGCTTGGCTTTGCCGTTTAGAGCACAAGGGTGAGGCACACAGCTGGGCTCCAGCTTGGGGTAAAGGGGTCCCCAGAGGCTTACACGTTTGTCTCTCCCTGCCCTGTTCTCCGAGCAGCATGGCTGTGCCTTCTTGGTGGATGAAGTTCAGACTGGAGGGGGCTGCACGGGCAAGTTCTGGGCCCACGAGCACTGGGGCTTGGATGACCCAGCTGATGTAATGTCCTTTAGCAAGAAGATGATGACAGGGGGCTTCTTCCACAAGGAGGAGTTCCGGCCAAGTGCTGTGAGTATCCTGGCTTTCTGTGCTCGTACAGAGCAAATGGTTGCTGCAGTACATACCTAAGGGACCAGGGGGTCTCCTGGGTGGCACAGAGGTTTCCTTCAATGTCACATGTAATAATGGCGTCAGTAGCTGCTGCTGTGTAATGGCCACTTTGTGCCTGTCCGTGTCTGGTGGTCCCTTAATCCACACAACACTCTAACCACGGAGCCTTGAATTCTCTTTGTAATGCTTCACTGATGGCCGGCCAGGCACAGAAGCCAAGTGTGCCTCTGCCGTAGTTACTTTTCTCGTTGCTATGACCCCATACCTGAAACATCTTAAGGAACATCTTAAGAAGAATTAGGGCTTACAATCTGAAGGGATGTAATCCATCATGACCGGAGGCATGGTGACAAGAGCAGGAGACAAATGGTCACACTGCATCTGTAGTCAGGAAACAGAGAGCGGAAGTGGCATTGGACAATTAAACCATGAGGTGGATCCCCAGTGCCCACTTCCTCCAGCAAGGATCACTCCTTAAAGGTCCTACAGGCTTCCAAAACATTACCACAGCTGGGGAGTAAGTTTTCAAACACATGAGCCTGTAAGAGACACTTTTACATTTAAATCACAGCACCCTCTAAGGTGTTAGTGAATAGTCAGGAGTCTCACAGAGGCCGTCTGTTAGCCGTGCCCATACACTACAAATTTTTAAGTGTGCATATAAATGCATGTGCACGCACACACACACACACACACACACACACACACATTCTTCAAGAGTCCAAAACCCTTGCATTGTGCAGTTTCAATCCTTGAAGTTGCTTCTTTGTCCAAAATGGCTACTGGAATTCCAGCTTTCATACGTCAGTTCTAATCAGTGGTAAGAAAAAAAAGAAATCCCCCCTCTTTCTCTGTCTGTCTGTCTCTCTGTCTCTGTCTCTGTCTCTCTCTCTCTCTCTCTCTCTCTCTCACACACACACACACACACACACACACACACACACACACGTTTTTATTTAATTGTCGTGTCTGTGCATGCTACTGCCAGCAGAGGCCAGCAGAGAGCTTCAGAACCCTGGAGCTGGAGTTACAGGTGCTTGCTTGTGAGCCACCCAGTGTAGGTGCCAAGTAGGGAACTCTGGTCCTCTGCAGAAGCAACAAATGCTTGTAAGTGCTGAGCCATCTCTTCAGCCTAGTTCTTTGATTTCTAACATGGGACTTAAACCTGGTCACACGGCCAGTCCACACTGTAAGAGAGGTGGGAAGTGTTTTAGTTGGCAACATTGCCACTGTAAGAACTCATGGATAGGAAAAGTAGATGATGTCCGAGAGTCAGCAGACCACGGTGCAATCCCAAGGCCCCCGTTGATGAGCATTTGCTAAGGCTAGGATCTTCTAACCTACCTGTACCTCGACTTCCTGCTGTATAAAATGAAGATGGTTGTGCACAACTGTGCAGCACACAGCAAGGTTTCGGCCAACAGTGGAGTGCACATATCACAGTGCACCCTCGAGATTGAATTGTCTGTGACATTATAACGACATTTTAATTTGCCTGAGAACGTTTGAATGGTGTTGAAATCACTGAACAATGCATTTCTCAGAGCATCTCCTTTGTGAGATGATACACCCGTGCAGTTAAGAAACTCGGCTTTTCTGGGCCCGAGAGACTTCCCAGGGGATGTGGCCGCTGGGGCTCTCTCAATAGCGCCAACCTTGAGATGTTTGTTGTTTCAGTTTCTTTCCTCTCTGGGGATGGAAAGGTGTAAGGTGCTAGGAGCTGCTTCCGTCAGTGAGTTGATTGCCGTGCAAGCATGGGGACTTGAGATTGAGCCCAACGCCGATGTGAAGAGCCAGGCATGGTAGTGCACACTTGTAATCCCAGCAGAGCTGGGAAGGCAGAAGCAGGAAGCTTCCTGGGACTTGCTGGCTAGCCAGCCTGCCAAATCAATAAGCTTTAGCTTTAGGGAAAGACAGTTCCTAAGGAACAACATCATTCCTCAGCTAGATTGACCCTTGGTGGATGACAGTTGACCTGGCTTGAGCCACCCTGCACTGAACCCCACCCCCTGTTGTGTATGTGTGTGTATGGACACATGTGTGTTCATGTGAACACACGTGCACATTTGTGTACATGTATGCAGAGGCATATACAATTTTTTAATTTTTTGCATGGGGAAGGAGGGAGGGGAGTGTTGGAAACTTCAAGAAGAATCATTTATTGAATTCCTCAAATGGCAAACAGTGACCACTCAGCTAAAGTCTGACACGTGACTGGGTTTCTCTCCTGGGAAGTGAGGACCCTATGTGGACACCTGCACGGAGTTATGTCTGAGCAGGCAGAGTAAAGGGGTGGAATCAAAGAGAGGCAGGAAAATGTGTGCCCAGGGGCAGGGGACCCTTTGAAGGGTTCTGCTATGAGAGCCCTTCCGATCGATCCCTCTCATTCTAGCCTTACCGGATCTTCAACACCTGGCTGGGAGACCCGTCCAAGAACTTGCTGCTGGCTGAGGTCATTAATATCATCAAGCGGGAGGACCTGCTCAACAATGTGGCACATGCCGGGAAGACCCTGCTCACAGGGCTGCTGGATCTCCAGGTACCTGGCTCAGCCCTGGCACTGCTTGCTGGCCTGCAGTTCTCAGCTAGCTTTGCTGTTTTCGGGTTCCCCGGCCTTGGCGTGGGCAAAACCAGGTCGCTCCATTCTTCCATGCCAACCCCGTTCCTTGCCCCTCATTATCTCTTGACACTAAATTCAAACATTCCTTCTAGAAGACTCCTCCTGTGACCCTCTCATAGCCATGATTCCCTCCTCTGAACAGTCCAGTGGGTTTGTTGCAAGCCTCATGTGTAGTTTTTTATTATATTGAAACAAGGTATCGTGTAACCCAGGCTGGCCTTGAATGTGATATGTATCAAGGATGACTTTGAATTCCCTATCTTCCTGCCTCTACCTCCAAGTCCTGGGATTACAGATGTGTGGCTGACAGCTGTAATTTTGAGTATCTTAAAAGCCAGCTGCAAAGCAAATTGGAATAGGTAAATTTATTTTAATGATATGTTTTACTTAACCTATCTGATGTCCAGAATACTATTTCAATAAGTCATCAATAAAGAAAATAAGTAATGGCCAGGTGGTGGTGGCACACGCCTTTAATCCCAGTACTTGGGAGGCAGAGGCAGGTGGATCTCAGTGAGTTGGAGGGCCAGCCTGGACTACAAAGTGAGTTCCAGGACAGCCAGGACTATTACACAGAGAAACCCTGTCTCAAAAAACAAACAAGCAAAAGGGAAGAAGGGAGGGAAAATAAGTAATATGCCATGCCTGTATCACATTCCAATCATCTCAGTACTGAGGGGACAGAGAGAAAGGAAGGTCCTTGTAAATTGAAAATCAGCCTCGTCCACATAGCAAGTTCTAGGCCAGCAAGGGTTGTAGACTGAGCCTCTCTCACAACAAGAGGGCTAGGGAGGTGGTTCAGATTCCCAGCTGTGTGGGCGTGTCAGCACCAGCGGGTCCCCCCCCCCCCCAACAAGCTCTGACACGGTCTGTCTTCCTGCTGCAGGCCCGGTACCCCCAGTTCATCGGCAGAGTGAGAGGACGAGGCACCTTTTGTTCCTTCGACACTCCAGACGAATCCGTGCGGAATAAACTCATTCTAACCGCCAGAAACAAAGGTGGGGGTGGGAGGGGACACTGAACTGAGTTATCTCACCAGTCTCTTGCTCTACTGAGTGGGTGCCGAGCTTCGCTAGGTACAGGGTGGGGAAAGTGGAGATGCTGGGATAAAGAGACTCGGGGCCTTTCTCGAAAGTTACTGGTGGGATTCATGCCTTCTTCTCATCTGACTATTTCTTCTTCTTCCTGTGTTTTGAGGCAGCGTGTGGTGTATCCCAGGTTTGCTACAAACTTGCTATGTAGCTAATTGAGGATGACTTTTTGTTTGGTTTTTTTTTTGTTTTGTTTTGTTTGTTTTTTGAGACAAGGTTTCTCTCTAGCTTTGGAGCCTGTCCTGGAACTAGCTTTTGTAGACCTCGAACTCACAGAGATCCGCCTGCCTCCGCCTCCCAAGTGCTGGGATTAAAGGCGTGCGCCACCACTGCACGGCTGAGTTTTAAACACCCAATCCTACTGCCCCTCCTCCAGTGCTGGCATTACAGGCATACACTACCACACCTAGCTTGTTCAGTGCTGAGGATCACACCTACAGCCTCATATAGGATAGCCAAGCCCTACTGGGCTACACCCCGCCAGCCCATGAAAGATTGCTTCACCCACTCCTGTGCTGCAGGCACCCATTGAGAAGGCAAGCTGAACTAACGGTGGGACCAGGCACAGCAAAGGCCAAGTCCTTCCTCCAGGAACCATGGTTGCTCAAGAAGCAAACACCTTTTTGAGATCACTCAGCTAGCCTACCGCTACACCCCGCCACCAATTTTCCTTTTAAAGAATTTTTATTATGTCTGTGATATGTGTATGTGTAAGTCCAAGGGCCACAGTCACATGTGGAAGTCAGAAGACAAAACTTCATGAGATCAGTTCTCTCCTACGTTTATGTGGGTTCCGGGGATTGGATTCAGGCCATTCGGCTTGCATGGACTACCGCACTCCCCATCCCCATCACTCCTGCCGCCTTTTAATTGGCCAGAGTGGCCTTGGACTCACCCTGTAGCTCAGACTGGCTTTGGACTTCCGATCCTCCTTCACAAGCCTCCTGAGCAGCTGGGGTTATGGACATGTCCCCCTAAGCCTAGCTTTTCACTTTTTATTTATTTATATTTTGAGATAGGGTCTCGTTGTATAGCCTAGGCCTAGAACTTGGAATTCTTCTGCTTCCATGTCTCAAGTGCTGGGATTACAGGCATGTGACACCATGCCTGCCTTAGCCTCCTTTCTAAAATATGAAAAATAGTTCCAAAGAAAATGAGCAAGCCAGGCAAGTATGCCCAGTACACACAGCAAAATCCTTCTTTGGAAACTGGCAGGTCCACGTGTTCGGTAAGGGCCTAGCCCTTCTGCACATGCTTCCGTAATGTAGTCACTTACCATGAGTTCCCGGGAAGAAAGAACTTCTACCTTGAGATTTCTCTATAATCCAACCCAGCAGGAGGAGAAGAGCTGACGTTTAAAGTTAGGGAAGGCTGGGCCTAGCAGCACACACCTTTCACCCCAGGCAGGCAGAGCTCTGTGAATTCAAGGCCAGCCTGGTCTACGTAGCAAGTTCTAGGCCAGCCAGGGCTACACAGTGAGACCTTATTTCAAAAAAAGAACGAAAACCAACAAATAAAATTGAAAATCAGGAGGGAAGGAGAGAAGAGAGTAGGTAAAGGAAGAGAGAAGGGGAGAGAGGAGGGATGAATAGGAGGATGGGGGGCTGCAGGAAAGAGCAATGGGGGGCAGATGACAACTGCTGACCTAACCCTGCTCTTCTTCCAGGTGTGGTACTGGGGGGCTGTGGTGACAAGTCCATCCGTTTCCGTCCCACGCTGGTCTTCAGGGATCACCACGCTCACCTGTTCCTCAACATCTTCAGTGACATCTTAGCAGACTTCAAGTAAAGAAGCCGTTCCCGTGACATTCAGAGAAAGCCTGGTCAGCGGTGTCAACCTGATTAGTTTGCCTAATTCATATTTTCACTTCCAAGTTTACCAGAGGCGAATGCATTAACTGAAGGGTCATTTGTGGGGCAGGCTCATCGTTCAGTGGTTGTGGAGGAAGAGCGGGTCAGGAGGACCTGGGTTTGAGTTTCCTCCCTGCAGGACTCGTGGTGCCAATTGGTTAAAGCCCTTAAGTTCTGTGTAAGCTTGGACACTGTCTTAGGAAAGGCCATGAGGCCATATTTCTGCCAACCCTGGACCAACCAGTTTCTTAGAAGCCACTCAATACCATTATAGCTGCTCTGAGGTGGGCGGGCAGGATCCTTGGGTCTCTGTCCATCTCAAGTACCCTGTTCTGGGATTGGAGATACTGATGTCCTCTTGTCCTCCATGAACCAAATCTCCTTGCTTCTCACCAAATCCCTAGCTCCATGCCCCACTCGTGACTTAGTGAGAGTCTGGATGGCTCTCAGGAAGATGACAGGTAGGGAGATAAGGAGTGTGTTTGAGGGAGAGGAGGGGCTTCTGGTATCCTAGACACCAAGATACACTCAGCCCTGTGCTCTTGGTGATGTCCCTGGCCTGCAAATTCTGTCCCTGACTGACCTGTGCTCCTGGAGGATCTCTGAGTGGCATCCGTGGTAGTTCTTAGGCGACATTCTCCATCCTGAGTCAGTCTTGACTCGAGCACCCAGGGGACACATGGGAGCTGAAGTTGCCTCTGGAGCCTGAACGGAGGAACACGAGCAGCATAGCCACAGGGCCTCTGACCTGTGACCCCTCATTCTGGGACCTTCATAGTCCAGCTCTCACTCATCCACCCTCCCATCTCTCCAGAGCAGGGCTCCTCCATCCCAGGGGATTTCCTGCTAAAGGCAATGTGTTCGTTATAAAGGCATAAGACAACACGCATGGAAAAGCAGCTTGCTGGTTCATGATGGTGTTCTTGGACTTGCCCTGCCCCACAACCCCACCCCACGCCACCCCACTGAGAGCCTGGGCCTTTTCTGAACTGGGAGCTTACATTACCCTCAGCCAGCAGCCAATGCTTATACAGGCCTCAGCATCTCAGCTGGAGGCGAGGTGTTCTTAGAGCTGACTTGACCTGAAAGGCTCCTGAGAAGAGCCCCTCATCCTTTGAGAGGCAGCAGTTAACAGATAGACTGAAGGGGGCTGATTTGTCTTCTCCCAAAATCTGCTTTGCATCCTGGAGACCTCGTTGAGTATCTGGAGAGATGGGTATGCCAGGCTGCCCAGTTCAGCCCTTTGCTCTTGAATCATCCAAAGATCTGGCTTCCATGCTTCCTTAGGCATAGTCATCAATGCACTTGCCTTGAGGATGAAAGGCATTGACATGCTTAATAGAGACAGCCGATCCATGAGTCCCAGGTCGCCTCACAACCCTGCAGTCTGAGACTCAGCCATCCCTTTCCATAGCCGTGTTTAAGATCATTTCCACAACCATATAAGTGATGGGGTTTGCTCCCTCCCTCCCTGTAAGGTTTCATCCACCAGCATGTTTATTTCCACATCAATAATTTATTCACTCATCTAACTTTCATGAAACACTGTGCTGTCCCAGGCCCTGTGCTAAACACCAGGAATACAAACATGAGATAAAGCCCCTGCTCCCAGGAGACTCCCACTCTCCTGGGAACCACAGACCCTTTAATGCTGAAGTCAGAGTGGCATGTGTGCTCTAGCAAGGCTTGCTATATATTAGTAAGTCCAAGGAACCTTTAAGGAGAAAGGAGTGTCTGATCAGAATTCTCCAGAATGAAAAGCTAATCAAGCACAAACAAGGAAGAGTAAGAAAAGGAGAAAGCCTGTGTAGAGGGCACGTTTGTTCACAGCCTCGGCCCTTTCCCCAGGGAACCAGGGTCTGCCCAGAATACCCCAAAGTTCAAGGTCTTATTTAAAAACACAAGGAAAGTGCAGACCAAACCCTAATTCACCCATTGGTTCAAGCATGCTTCCTCCTGAGAGTCATAGCAGCACACGCGATGCTCAGTCAGGTCCTTGGCGTTCGCGGGGGTCTTAAGCTAGGACACAAGCAGAAATCACTCTCTTTAGTGGAGGGAGTTGCTGATGTTTTACTTTGTTCTACAGGGTGTGCTGACAGAAGAATGGAATCATCTCTAGAAAGTCATATCCAGATGTTTTGTTTACCCCTTGCCTGGGGACGGTTCTTCTCATTTTAAACAAACAAACAAAATTTATGCCATTCATCCCAAGTTCTTGACTTGGGCACAGTATCTCCCTGAGATGTCATCTTTGGAGGTTAACTGAAAGAATCCCAAGGAAAAGGATTTCCACAAAACTCAAGATGGTTAAAAACTTAGAAAAGGCTAGTGAAAACCCGGGAAGCCTGGTAGGCAGAGCCCACAGAGAGGCGCCTGTGTGCAGGTCTGGATGTAGACCCATCATGCATTAGTACAGTAGAGTTTAGTAAATGTCTCTAGTCTGTTGTGTCAATTTTGCAGAAAACAAGGCCCAGTACTAGCGAGTCTTAGAAGTCCTCCCTTTTTATTATAAATGGGTGTTTTGTTTTGTTTTTATAATTTTTACTGATGCTCAGTAACCATGCAAAATTGTGCACATTAATGTACTAATTACTAGATCTGTACTTATCTATACACAATATATCAGCTCCCTGTAGAAAACCACAGCTAGCGAGCATCGCAGACTCACGAAGACCAAGTGATCTTGTTTACAGCAATTGTTCAACAGTGCCAATAAGTGACGAGGGAACTAACGTGTCACGGTGAAACTGGTGACCATGTGCACAACTCCATGAACTAAATCTGTTTCCTGTGTTAACCGGTATTCGTAAATTAAAATGTTTATAATGGAAACACCAGAGTGAATGTGAGCTTCAGTGAATGTGGGCTTCTTCTGGGGCTCGCATTGCCCCAGATGTCACAATGGCAGATTAAGTAAGGATTCCGTCCCAGTCCAGCCTGATGAACCTGTCAACTTGCTGGTTGCTGGTGTAGAAGCGTGGGGGACTCACACAGCTGCATCGCACAAAAGCCATGTGCTCAAAGCCCCACGGCAGTCTCCTCTCCCTGAGCAAGGGTTTCTGTAATCTCAGGACGACACTGTGAGTCGTGTGGGCTTCTGTATTCCTTGCTTTCCTCCTATGACCCAGGGTCTGACCAGCAGCTTGAGGAGAAGGGCTCTGTTACAGTTTGAAGTTTAAGAAACGACATCATCCATCTGAGTATAGATGGCGTGATCATAGGAGGGCAAGGCACCTGGTCACATTGCTTGTCAGCCAGGAAGCAAAGAGCAGACACAGTAGACCGAGGCCAGAAAATCTCAGGCCACCCCAAAGACCCACTTCCTCCTAAAGATTCCACAGCTCTCCAAAACAGCACCACCAGCTGGGAAACAAGTGTTCAAACACCAAGCATGGAGGCAGGGATGGGGGAGAGTCTCATGTAGAAGGAGCTGTGGGCAGGCATGCTTTTTGTCCTGCCTGGCACCCACATGGTTAGCTTTACACCCGAAATAACAACACACAAACTGTATTCATATAAACACTGCCTGGCCCATTATATCTAGCCTCTTCTTGGCTAATTCTCACTTCTTGCTTAACCCATTTCTAATAATCTGAGTAGCAGCACTAAGTGGTAGCTTACTGGGAAAGATTCAGCATGTCTGATCTGCATCCATTTTGGGCCGGAGCTTCATTGTGTCTGCCTCAGAGAGGAGAGGCATGGCGATTGCCTCACTTCCTCCCAGCATTCTGTTCTGTCTACCTCACCCACCTAAGGGCTGGCCTATCAAATGGGCCAAGGCAGTTTCTTTATTAACCAATGAAAATAACTCCTCCATCATTTCCCCTTTTTCTGTTTAAACAAAAAAGAAAGGCTTTAACTTTAACATAGTAAAATGACATATAACAAAACAGTTATTAAGTAAGAATTACAGTTACAATATTTATATCTATTTTATCTTTTATCATAACAAAGGAAAACTATAACTATAACTTTCTGTCTATTCCTCAACTCCATCAAAGACTCCAGAAGGATACAATATTACCTAAGCAAACAAGAAATAAGCAACTTCCAGACTCTAGAAATGACAGAGACATCTCATTGCCTGGACAGTCACCCAAAGTTCCTCTGTACCATTGGCGCATCCACCTTCAGCCTTCAGGCCCATAGTATCTAGAGACATTTCCATGAAGCAGGAAATTTCAAAGGCAGTTCAGTCACTATCTGCTGTGTCCTGTAGAATGTCTCACAGACTCTTTCATTAATCAGGAACCCCGAAAGATCATCTCACCTTTAGGCAAGTTCAGCAGTCCTCTCTCTGAGGGTTCTCTGTGTTCAGTTTATGCAACAGTTCAGGCAAGAGCAGTTTCTTGCCCAAATGGCTATCAAACTCCATAAGGAGCCTCTTCGATGCCCATCTTCCTCTTGAAGTAGCTGGTGCTGCCAGGAGCAGACGTGTCTCATTGTCATGAAAAACCCGAAGCTACTAAAATATTAAATGCCATATTCTGTAGTCTTTGAAAGATATGAAGAATGCCTATCTGAAATATATCTATGCACATCTAGAAAATCTAACTAACGTGACTACAAGCTTGAATATTATTGATGATTATCTATTAACAACCTATATACATTACATTTTTAAATTAACTACACAATCACAATACCTTAATATCAGAAATACATATAGATATAACAAAATTGACCTTAAATCCATACCAATGCAAATTATTTATATCTATATCATATCCCCCTTTAAGTGTAAAAGAACATTTATAAACAATATTTGGGAACATGGGCACAGTTTTTTCTCTCCAAACTGCTTCGTGCTGAATGGGGGCACTGTTATTTAGGTCTTTCATGGTATAACCTGTGTGTCAGGCTCATCTCAGTCAGCAGTTGAGTGAAGTAATTTTTTGAGGGTGTTCACAGCAACCTTTCAGAA